TTTAAAGACCAAAAGATAACCAAAAACAAAAATAAAAGGCAAAATTAAGAGCACTTGCATTATCATCATAAAAGAATTGCCTTCTCACTCACAGAGCTACCAACACTGTGTCAGAAGGTGTCCTAAGATTGTTTCGAGGTTTCATCATCTGATACAAAGAAAAAGACAGAGATACAGTTCAACAATGTCAAACACCGAGAGATACAGTTAAGGATGTTAAGGATCCAGATGCAGAGATGTCTGTGTATCACTCGCTCGGCAGAAGCCGACCTTAGATCAAGTGTTCGATTATGCATGAGGATATATTTTTTTTAAAAATAACAAACAGCAATAAGCTCAAGTATTGTTGTAACACGCCTGTTGTGAGGTAGGGGACTGTGGCGAGGGCAGGGGCGGCGGCTATGGAGGAGGAGGAGTTGTTCATGCTAAGCTGCTGGAGATTCTAGGACTGCATAGCGACCTCTGTTGGCTTCATCATCTGCAAGTTCATTGTTGCCTTTGAACAATACAAATTTTCAATGAAAAATCCATTCCTCCTACGTAGTGAAAAATATCAAATGGAAGTTAAGAGTTCTTGCAGTTACATAGCTCCAGCAGTGTGATAACAGCACTATCAGCATTTCTTAGTAGTCAAATATGTTGCTATTTAAATCCAAACAAAAAAATAATTGAGATGTCAGGCAAATACTAAATCCTTCGTTGAGATAAGCCTTAGATCATTGAGACATTTGGTCAAGCAGATCTTGTGCGTGGTTATCATTGCATTCAGCCTATTATGTCAAGTGCCCTCACCTTGATTTGTTGTAGACTTTGAAAATTAGGGAGTCTCGCTATCTAGCAGCGTAATGGCAAGAACGCATCCAGCACCTAGAAGGTCTGATGTGTGTGCACTGGAGTTCGACCTCAGGACACGTTGACCGAGCTTGTTGTGCTGGAGATGTGCAACGTCTAGGCGTCAGGCTTGGCTTTGATGCGCCTATGATTTTTGTGCCCTGCAAATGCATAACCCAGTACCAACTCAATTTGCAGTAAACGTTAGCAAGACCTGATGTGATTTCCATCCGTCCCAAAACCACAGAACTGAAACGGGCATTGAATAAATCACATCTGAAAATATATCCGCACCAACACGAACGAAGACTGAAACATGAAACACGCATTGTTTCTGATTCGTGCTGCGTTTTCGCAGACAAATACCACAGCGAACTGGATGGCAAATACAAACTCAAGAACACGGATCCGATCATTGAGTCAACAGAGGACCAGCAATCTCTAGAAAAACACAGGAATAGGCCATCAGACATCTAGAAGGCAGGAATACAATCCAGAAGGCAATAAACCATACCTCTCGCCAATCCTTGGTGGAGATTCAGATTTCGGAGATGCAGGCGAGACGGTGGTAGAAGCAGGTTGGCAATCGATGGCTCCCCTTGCCGCCACCGCCGCCGAGCGGAGGAGCAGCTGCCTGGTCTCTCTCCCTCCACAAATCTCACGTGTGCAGACATCGCCCTGGGGGCTCTCGACCGCGCTGAGACGCCACCGCCGCCCTGCGCAACCCTAGCCCCGTGGGCGGGCGGGCTGCGGCGACAACGGCAAGCAGCAGCAGGAGCGTGCGCCGCCGTCGCGAGGGCCACGCTAGTCTGCTCGGTTGCTGCACGAAGCTTCTGCAGCCGCCAAGAGAGGAAGGATGTCGGCGCCAGGCAGCCAGGCGGGGCAGCATCGCGTCCGCGCGGCCTAGCTGGGATGCACGAAATGATGGCTACTGGCGCCTCAGGGAACCGGGCCTCGTGGACGTGGTCTAGCCGGGCCAATAGCGGTTGCCCTGAGAAGGGAGCACGCCTATGAAGGGAGACACGGTGAGGCTCTCGGCGCTCACGACCGGCTCGGTCTGGCGGATCCAGGAGGCGGTGGCCGGCGGGATCAACGGGTAGGGCTCGCGTTATGATCGTGCATTTCCCAATCTCCACCACGGCGTCCGCTCCGACCAGAGGACTGCTCTGTCGCCCGCTGCCACGGCCGAACGGGAAAAAAGCGAGCTTGGGGCGACCTTGGCGAGGAGGCGAGCATTCGAGGGAGGAGGCGACGGGCAATTTGAGGAAGGCGTCTCGTGATTGGAGGGAGGGGGCACGGGGAGGGCCAATCTGGGGAGGGTCACGGAGCGCCGGGTGGAGATTGGGATGACCTTCCATTTTTACTGCGCGCTGTATCGCAAGTGAGGGGCGGACCGACGGAGCGACGATTGTCGCACGAAACGGTGGTCTTACTTTGTTTCTTTTTAGTGGTAGGAGACTTGATGACTACCATCGCCGCTCCGCTTAATTTCAAGCTAGCGAGTACCAAGTTCTGAGTGGCGACTTGCATGCAACAAAATTATGGCATATTCAAAATGATGAGGTCTGCTCCCTTCAAAATAATTTCAGGCTTGCATGCAACAAAATTATGGCCGCACGGGGATGCTCCCTACGACACGTGGTGCACCGCGCGTACACCACCGAAACGGTAAATGTAAACTAACTGCATCCATTCCAGGCCCGGAGCTAGAAATTATATATAGAGAGCCAACTGAAAAGAACTAACTTGTAAAAATTGAGCGTGGCTCAGATGATTACGTTTCTCATGGCGACCATCTAGGTTAAATTATTGACTTGACAAGGTTGCTTGTATTTTCTTATATGTATTCTAGAATCTAAGGCCCTATTTTTCAGAGGTAGGCGACACCTATTAAAACAAGGCTACGGTGACTTCATATATCTCGAGATCTACCGGCTTAGGGTCTGTTTGGATGATGCGGTTTTCGAAAACTATAGTATCACAAAAATACTGTTTAATAAGCCAAAGAGATAAAACCGTGGTTTAGAAAAAAGAGGTCAGGAGTAGAATTTCTAAAACTTTGAAAAGACTATAGTTTTGACAAAACCTTGGTTCTAGAGAGACTACAAGATTTGTTGCATCAAACACTCTGTACCTTTTAAAAAACAAAGTATTTTGTAAAACCGTAGTATTTGTCTAATACTTCAAAATAGACCTGAGCAAATTGAGCCTGGCCCGGCCCGAAATGCTGTTTTTTTGCTACTTTACACTGTAAAATACGCGGGCGGCCCGCCCAGGCTGGACCCGGCCCGAGCTCGGCCCAAAAAATTAGGCCCAACCTGCCAAGTGGGATGGTTATGGGCATGACTTTTTTTACCCGAAATAACCAGGCGTTTTTTCGGCCCGGCCCGTAAAATGCTCAAGTCTACTTCAAAAGATACTTTGCATCCAAACAGGGCCTTAGTCTTTTGGAGGTGTTTGTAGAAATGATTTTATTTTCTAGCGGTGCTTTGTATGATTTTATTATCTACTCCATCTATCCCATAAAAGTATCGCTATAGAATTCATGTTGGTCTTAAATTTAACTAGGTTTGTAAAAAGTATTAGTAATATTTATATCTCTAAATAAGTTTATTATGAGAATATATTGAATGACCTATCTAATGATACCAATTATATAATGTAAGTATTAATATTTTCTTATATATATTAGTCAAAGTTGAAAATGGTTTGACTTCACGAAAAATGGGAATAACACTTTTTAATGGACGAAGGGAGTAGGTATATATGACAATATTTTTATTATATTCTTCCACTAAAATAAATAAAAATTATAAAATCAAAGGCGAAGCCAGAAATTATACATAGGGGACCAACCGAAAAGAACCAACTCGTAAAAACTGAGTGCGGCTCAGATGATTAGGCTTCTCATGGTGATCGTCTGGGTTAATTAATCGGCTTGACACGGTTGCTTGCATTATCTTATATGTATTTTAGAATCTATGGTTCTATTTATCGGTGGTAGGCGACATGCATTGAAACAAGGCTCGGGTGACTTTATAAATCTCAAGATCTACCAGCTGAGTCTTTTGAAGGTGTTTGTAGGAATGATTTTATTATTTAGTTGTGTTTTGTATGATTCTATTGTCTACTCCATCCGTCCTATAAAAAGTGCCGCTATGGAATTCATGCTGGTCTTAAATTTAACTAGGTTTGTACAAAGTATTAGTAATATTTATCTCTATAAATAAGTTTGTTATGAGAATCTATTGAATGACGTATCTAATGGTACTAATTATATATTGTAAATATTAATATTTTCTTATATATATATATATATATATATATATATATATATATATAAGTCAAAGTTGAAAATGTTTGACTTCACGAAAAGTCCGTGGGGATGACACTTTTTAATGGACGAAGGGAGTAGAAAATATTGATAGGTATATATGATAATATTTTTATTATATTTTCCACTAAATATAAATAAAAATTATAAAATTATATTGTACTAATAAAAATTTTTGTTGTCATCGCGTCGTTACTGTCTCTGCACCGCCTAGTCCGTATGTAGGAGTATCAATCAAGGTTCAAGAGTCAGGAAATGCAAGCTTGCTTTCTGAAGGCATCGTAAATAAACAACGTATGTCTGGCCAAATTGTTAATATGTTATTACACGAACCGGATGTGGTTCAATGTTAATCCATTCGGCCTTTTGTCACGCTCACGCTCACGCTCTCGGATTGTTTACATGCTGCTCTCCGCCTGTTTCTGAAACGGAACTACCCACGAAATGACACATGGTACCATCAGCTAGCATCGGCGCAGCAACACGTCGGCGTCCCACTCCCACCTGCGGCCCTACTAGACTCTTTCGGCCTCTCTTTGCACCGAACTTTTCAGGGCCGCTAGCGCTAACCTTTGGCTGAGTTCAAGAGCCAGCGGAACAAAGACAAGTGGAGAAAGAGAGAGTGAGAGAGCAGAGAGCCTTTCTGTCCTCTTTTTTTCTAGTGATGATGATGATGCATGTTCCATTCTCGATGAATGCATGAATATGTTAATGATAGAAGAACATTACTACAATATGTCCCCTCAATCGGGCCTCGTCCGCTCGCCACCACTGACGGCGGAATCTGTACCCTAACAGCTACTACCAACCATGTCATTCATCGAACCCTGGATCATCAGAAGCCAGGGAACTGGCTGCTTTGGTGGTACGGACGGATAGCAGCTTGCTCACTCGTCCCTGTAGGGCTGACATTCTCTGCGGCGGCCGCGACGACGACGCTCCTGCCAAAGAGAAGAGTCATTTTGCCAAGACAAGATCGAGTCAATGCCAACTTGCCAAGAAGAGTGAGAGGCGTGACGTGATGCACTGAGTTCATGGAGGATTCGGCCTTACTCGCTTGGAGGGCGGGAGGCCCAGACGGAGCTGAGGGCGCGGAGCCGGCGGTGATACTCGCTGATGGAGAGGAAGCACCGAGCCGTCTGGCGAGTCGTCAGGATCCGCCGCATCTGGTGCAACGTCTGCTGCCTCAGACTGTCCGCCTGCACTCCCACGTCGTCATGGGAAACGATGAACGAGGTGTCAGATGGCCATTCACGTCTCCATAAACTGACGAAGTTCCTAGCTTGGAGGGAACGCGGACGCCGGACGGACGGCTCCTCGACACGTCGCATTCAGGAGCGCAAATAATTGGCAGCTGCAGCCTGCTGCGGGCCTGTGGCTGCATCCGGTGACAGGAAAGCCCGTGCTCGTGCGCGAGACAGGCTCAAAGCTTTAGCTTACTGCTGTTGCATAGTCTAAGGACATGTTTGGTTGCTTAGCAACCAATTCTGGCCATCAAACACTCAAAATCAACGGTCTGGATTGCCGTTTGAGCATGCAAACTTGTCTGCGCAAGCAACCAAACAGACCCTAAATGTAGGGATATATATATGGGCCTTGTTTAGATCACCTCCAAATTCCAAGTTTTTTCACTCTCTCTTCATCACATTAATTTTTAGCCGTTTGCATGGAGCATTAAATGTAGGTAAAAAAACTAATTGCACAGTTTAGTTGGAAATCACGAGATGAATCTTTTGAGCTTAGTTGGTCCACGATTGGACAATATTTACCAAATAAGACGAAAGTGCTACTATTTATCGGGTTGAAATTTTTTGCAATCTAAACATGGCCATGGTCAGAAATAGGAACAGGGCAGATGTATTAGTTCATTCATAATTTTAATTTGTAGTAAGGTGGCCATCACATTCCTGGCTTTTCATAGAAAGGGATAGGTGGTCTACGAGTATACATTTAATTTGTTTTATGTGATAGTAGAAAAGAACCTTTGCTTCTGCTGGGGCCCTATTACCAATTCCTCGAGAAAGCATATCGAATATAGCCGGTACCACAAACATAGAAACGGATAGGTGCACATACACACACACACACACAGATTGATGATGAATGGTGGAAAGTGCTAATGATGTTTATCTGCATGTTTAGAGGCTTAAGCACGCAAAGTTGACTACGTTACATTTTAAGATAATGATATGTAGCTAGCTTTCTGCTATCCAGCAAGAAAGGCAACATTTATTTTACAGCTAGCGAACTGAGATCAATGTTAACATAACTTTTATGACTATAAAAATTTTATCTTCAAATAATTGTAGCCATTGCATTTATTTCTACCCATATGAAGTGCTGAACGTGGTTAGTCAAGCTATAATGGGTTTAAGCTCGTTGCGACACCTATATGCATGGAACGAAGAGTAAAAACTGACCTGACGGTAAAAGCTCTCGAGGGTGTCGAGCCTGTCGAGTGCTAGGGTCATGAGAGCAGTGTAGTTGGCGACATTTGCACCGTCACTGAGAGGACTAGCGCCCACTGCATCCGCCAGCGACTGGTGCAGCTGCTGAAGCCCCTGCCCAAGCGCCTCCTCAGTCTGCTCCGACGACCGTTGCAGATTGTACATCCCTAGCAGCTGCGGCTCCGTAAGAGGATCAAGCTGTGGTATCAGCATCTGATCACAAACCACAGAGAAGACTCGATCAGCAATTAATGACATTGTGCTGATAAACTGTGATGTTCGTTTGGAGAAAAAGTCGGTGCTTTTCCCTGAAGAGAGAGAGAGAGAGAGAGAGGGGTGCGTTTGCATGAGTTTAACACCTACATTACCTTGAGGATTTCAGAAGGACGGAACCCGCCCATCCAGAGGAAGCATCGCTCAGCCGTCGTTGCCCACAAGCCAGTCATCAGGTGGAACACATCGGATCTTGCAAGCATAGCCCTCAGGTGGAACAGCTCATCATAGTGCCGCATGCACTCTTCAACGATGGCCCCAAGGTTTGCATCAATAATTTGAGGCTGCAGCACGGCCTGGAGCTCTGTCATGTGCTTGGTGTCATCTTCTAACCACCGGGCGTACTCCATGTCAAAAATCACAGCGCCTGTAATAGTAACACATCCAAACTGAAGACCTTGAATATCAGCCGGTTGGGTGGCTATGCTTTGTTCCGCTGAATGAGATGGTTACCTGAACTCAAATCTCCAGGTGCACCGCCTCCTCCCGGGAACAGACCCTGAAACCATTTTAACATTACACCAAATGGTGACACTATGCAAATACTAGATCAAATGTTCTATGTCCTGTCTCCTGAGGATTCTAGAGAATTTGGACCTGTGAACGTGCTCCATGCAGCTCTTGTTCAATTTGCTGAAGCCTAATCCGACTTGTCTCCAACTGCTGTACATAGGCCTGAAGTTGAACAATTTTTAATCTCTGTTAGATATATGGTACCAGTTGATCTAAGCATTTTCTCTACTTTGCTTTGCACCTTTTTTCTCAGCCTGCTCTTTCTTGCAGCCTCTCTGTTCTGAGCCAATCGCCTCTCAGTCTAAATTTCAGAATAATATAAGAGATTAAGAGTACGGCAAAACTGTAGTGACATGCAAGCAATAAAACGTTAGCAAATGTTACCAAACCTTGGCATCTAACAGCTTGCCGTCTTTTCTTGTGGATCCATGCTTTCCCTGCACCAGAACACCAAAAAGGTAGCTTAGAACAGTGTGCAATGCTAGTTCTATAGTAAGATACCTAATCAGCATCAAGAAAGTAAGTATATTGGAGCTCAAATCTCCTGTTGGGTGTTACTACTTATTTACTATTGCTTTTAGATAGCAGCTCTTTACCTGTTTCACCCGCCATTCCACAGTATTTCCAGCAGCTCAACGACATAAGCCATCAGAAGAGCATCTTTAACTATTTTTACTGTGTTTCCCAATGGAGGCGGAAGGGTAGTAGCATGCCCCAACCATTATTTGGTTTCTTTGTTTTTTTATTTTCCTTGAATAAACCTTGACCAGATGCTTTTTGAAAAATGATATTACCTACTTTTTTTAGGGTTGATCTACTCTCCAGTCGTTCAAGAAACATACTACTTTACAGCAGCAACAACAACAACAGAAGTGACTTCTCTATTCAAAGGCTTGTCTGCATCTCAAAACCTTCAAACCAATTTAAGCTTCCAAAAAATAGTTGTTCTAATGTCTCCTGACAATACCATATGCTCTAGTTTCATTGTAAAGCTTACTTAATTTCTCCAGAATATTTAGTTATCTATCGACTAGACAGCATAGTACCATTGTGTCACTAGCTATTACCTTGTCTTGGCCTGCTGCATGCTGCTGAAAGATTGGAGCTGTGGTTGCTGCCGCTCCGAGTCCTTGCTCGTAGTTGTAGTCATCAACGGTCACCATCAAAACCTCCTGCCGCTGCCCAGAGTCGGCCCTCATGCTCCCTGGGGACACCAACTCGGTCTGTGGCATACTGTTCTGACCTGAGCTCGAGTCAGTGGTGCTCCCTACTGAGTGCGAGTTACCCTGCGCAGCAATTCATCAAGAGGAGCAGACAGAAGAAGGCAGTGAACACTTAATTAACCAAGAACACCTTTGTCCGGTTTGGTCAGCAAGGAACTGTAGGGCACTGTAAATGACGAAACAGAAGCAGTGCTTACACTGTATGGCTGCTGTAGATGACTCATTGGCCATGAAGGGAAGATCTCCAGTGTGGGGGGCCTAGCTGCAAGGTATCCAGCTGCTGCATACATACAAATGGAATTAAAGGTCTTTTCAAGGCTCCATCTCCAAGAGGCAGCAAAATTGGACACACATAGAAGAGAGGAGTGAGGTGTCCGCTCTGCAGCCTGTGGGATCACACAATTTATGCTGTCTCCCAATCCCAACTGCATCTGGTCATGGCTAATCTGTGCTTGGCCAGGCAAAAGCCAAGTCATGCTACCCTGTGCTTATCTACTGCGGTGTTGTGGGGAGGGCAGCAAAGCAAAGAAAGAAGCCGAATCCACGGGTGGTTAAGATTTGGATTAAAGGAAAGAGGTGTAGAGAAAAAGGCAGTCTTACTCTTACACTCTGTGTCCACATCACTTCCGATCATGCCATGATCACCAGAAGTACGGGTGCCATGGATAAGGGCCTCCTCCAACTCACCAAAGTAATAAGGAGCAGCTGCAGGTTGCAACTCCCTGGACCAAGCAGTAGTGCAGCGAGTTCAGCACCAATGGCATCCATATGCAATATAAGGCAAAGCAGATAAAAGCTTAAATTTTCAAGAAGGTAAAGGCAATGACTGAAAGTGAGGGTCAGAGGTGTACAGATAAGGATGAGGGCTAAAAAGAGGAGCAGGAAGGTAAGATCACTTGCAGGATCAAGGCCTTAGGCATTAAGAAACTACTTGGTTTGTGGGAAGAGGTGTAATCCAATGAGAGGAAGCTCGGAATATATATACAGGAGAGTTTGTTATAAAGATAGTTAAAAAGAGGATATATATGGGAAACACTATTTTATAGCAACTGTGCAAAAAAGAGCTTTAGCTGTGTTGTCTTTGCATTTACTAGTAGTAGCAAGAGAGAAATAGCAGAGGGAGTGAGGGATAGAGTAGAAAGGAGAAGCAGTACAAGAAATTGGCAGGTTGTGCAACAGAAGCACGCCTTTGGGTTCCACATGCAATTGTTTGGCTGAATGATGCAGCTCTACCATGATCACTACTTGTCATGCACCACGAACTGTCCTCGCCTTGCGCCATGAGTGTGAACAGAGCTCAACTGCAAGGGGAGATTAGTGAGCTAGCTAGGTTCACATATATACATGTGTTTGATATTATATTAAAGAGAGGACCATAGAAGGAGCATATATAAATACCACATGGTAGGCCGTTCCTTGTGTTCTTGTTTGTCTTCTCCGACAATGGTAAGTCGAATCACCCTTGTGGTTTCATACACTAGTGTGCCCCCCAAAGAAGATCTTGTGTCCTTTAGAACATGCCCTATGAGGCTGTTTCTCTTTCTGTTTTCACAAGCTATAGAGAAAGGAGGGCCGAGGAGGAATAGGTAGAGATGTGCTGATGTGGTAGGCCATTGCCAGGATTTCTGTCTCCTACTTCTTGCAACCACCTTTCATCTCTCATTGGCTACCCTCTGACCTCTCCTCTGGGATAGCAAGTACATCAGTGGGGAGATGGAGATGGGAGGAGGAACGGCACAAAATCTTTTCCTAGAAAATAAAGGTTGAAATTTGGCAAGTTGCTCTAGATTTTTATCCACCTTCATATTCGAAAATGAAATCCTTGCAATGCAAGAGTATTTGGGGGGTAGGAAACGGGATTTGTTTGACATTATCCATGAGACCATGACTTCGAGTACGAGAAACTCAAACGTTTCAGCACTGCCTAGTTTCTCTGTTTGGAAATGCTATTGGACAGGAGAATATATGTTCTAACCAAGTTGCCTGTTATTTAACTTATTAGTGCTTAACCCTTTGGATAAAGTAGGGCCGAGTATATTTGAAAAGAGTATGGTGTGGTGAAGTGCAGGTGCATTTATACTCACTGGAAAGTTCTCAGGTCTGCTCAGATTTGCTCAATCCTTTGCCTAGCTGAAGCTCAAGCTTTTTCTATTCTGACTTATTTCGTGCACTAGGAGAAAGGAGACTTTTAGATGCTCTTCTGCTACCAAACATTAGGCAAGCTCATGCGGTTTCTTCAAGGAAAACAAAGAAATGTATCAGAAATCCAGGAATTCCATTTCTTCATACAGATATTTTAGCAACTGGACTATTTTCGGTAATAGCAGGTTATCAAAATTTCTTGTATGAGATTTTCGAATTAGAATGTGACTTTTTGTCAATATTTTAAACATTCGTGAATAATTACAAAGAATGGCGGAGAATAGCCAGATATTGAAATTTATACTAGCTAAATATAAATTCAAATATCCATGGAGTGGGTACTGGAAATTTCAACAACCAAATTTGAATGCAGATCTGACAATAGTTTGAGGTATCTCGGCCTAGTTTCAAAAGCACCATACAATGATATGCATTGAAGAAAAAGAAATAGACATGGATAATGTCAAATTGTGGTGTATAAAGCTCCGTAGCATATAGCCTTTATGTCGTTTATTATTATTTTTTCTTCTAGTGATTTTGTTTGCCATGGTCTTGCTCTTCTAGGGGTTGTACGAGTCGTGTAAACTTTTTCTCTTCTTCTTAATACAATGATATGCATTGAAGAAAAAGAAATAGACATGTGAGATTATGTAATTAAACAAGAGAAAATGGCAATAAACAAATACAGACTTGTCTATGGCAAATGGCTATTGCAAAAACTGAACTATATTATATATTGAACAAGTCATGCCAAAACCAAAAACATGAGAGCATCTAAAGGATTGCTCCAATTGAAATAGCATGTAAAACAGACTACAAATGAGCTTAAACTTCAAAACTTAGGCTATGTTGAAGTGTTTATATACCTCTGAAAGATAACAATAAATGTTAGTTTCTCCATCACTTGTTCAGCTTACAATCAGTCCATGGCTCCATACAGGCATGGTCCTAACTGCTCGATTGCCACAACAATCTAGTCCAGTTTCAGATCTGACACTTTTTTAATGGGAGAGAGTCCTTTAAAAAAAAGGAGAGAGCGGATCCATGCCTTTTGTGTTGAGTTCTTTCCAATTTTTTTGAAGGAAAGAGGAGGATCCATGCTGGTTGTGATAAAGAAGTCCGTGTCATGACAGAAAAAAAATCAATGGTTCATTATACTTACTAAAAATCACAATAGTAACACCACATCAAAATTGTGAGACAAACGGATTTATTTTATGAATGAAAGCTACAGACGGAATTAAAATGCTAGCTGGAGGCTGGAGCACATCCAAATTCCTCAGCAGCAAGCCTGCAACCACCACTGCTTCAAGCGTGCCAGTTCGCCGAATTAGGAAGCTCATTGGAAATTTCGATGGTTAACCAGCATTTTGAATTTTTGGCCCACTCGTGGACAACCTAATTCATCTACTATCCCAACACCACGCCTAAAAAATGGATAAGTATACAGAGGAAATGCGGTGCGCAAAATCCGTGCATGGGACATGCCATATTCATATGACCCAAGTCCCCTAGAAGAGGCCCAACTAGCGCTATTGGAGTGGCATATAAAACCCACCCCCACCGAGGGGTCGCTTGTAAATTTCCGTTTGCCTATATAAAGCCAAGAACATGAGGGCAAGGGGGGCTCTCTTCTCTCCCACTCATTTTTCACAAACCCTAGCCTTCGTCGTAGGGCCTTCTCCGTGGAGCCTTCGCGCCAGACCTTCGTTATGGAGCCTTCTCCGCAGGAGCCTCCGTCATGGAGCCTTCTACGCGGAGCCTTTGCAGGGAACAATCATCGGGCCTTCGCCCGGAACCTTCGTCTGAAACCTTCTTCGGGAGACCTTCTTCGAGGGACCTTCTCCCGCCGGCCTTCTCCGGAAGACCTTCTCCTGCCGGCCTTCTCCTGGAGGCCTTCTCCCGTCAATCTTCTCTAGGAGGCCTTCTCCCGCCGACCTTCTCCGGGAGATCTTCTCCAGCAAGCATTCTCTAAGGAGCCTTCTACTCTCAACCCTGTTCGGGACGCATATCCCAACATTGGCGCCCAACGTGCTCGACACGAATAAATTTTTTGAGAGTGAAGGTTTGAACCTAAAAGAAGACCTGGGAAAGGTAAGATCCTCAGGACAAAAGTATAATCTAGGCTTCAGATCACTAGTATATAAAATAAGTACCTCATGTTTTCTTTGTTAGACTACAACCACTTGCATATCAAACACTAACGTCTTTTAGACATCAAAAGTCTAGTCTTGCAGGAACATACCACTTGACTAAGTATCCACGTACAGGAACCAAGCCAACATAAGTAAGTATTTCTCATGAGCCTATAAGTCGAAAGTGGCTAGCAATGGAGCCACAACATTCGACAACAGCTTTTTCAGCAGAAAGAGGACCCTCCATTACCTAAGCCAAAGGCTCAAGGGTACGGAACGACCTCCGCGGCGCAAAGCACCTGAACTTGACAAACACCTGGGCAGCCTTCAGTGGTCTATAGACCTCATCAGTTATTAACCTTCATAAATCAATGATCTTGGTTAGTTATTTGCCTTCGTCAGTCAGAACTCTCCATCAATTAGCAGCTTTCATTAAATACTCAACCTTCGTCAGATACTTCAGTGATCCTCTATCAGCTATTGGTTTTCATTAGCCAGCGGCCTTCGACAGTCATGAGCCTTCGTCAATCATTGGCCTTCATCAGTTATTGGCTTTCAACAGTCAGCGACCTTCGACAGTCAACAACCTCTGTCGCTTATTAGCTCTCATCAGTCAGTGGCCTTTATCAGTTATTGACCTTCAACAGTCAGTGGCCTTCATCATCAGTGAACTTCATCTATCAATGGTTCTTAGCAGCCTTCGTCACTGTCGACAGAATATCATCGGCAGTCCTCCGAGGAGTATCCCACGAAGGTAGATTGATCGGCAGAGAGGCGTGTAATCAAGAACAAGAAGGCAACAGAGACACACGAGTTAGACAGGTCCAGGCCGTCAGTATGACGTAATACCCTACTCCTGTGGTCTGTTAGTTTGTATTGGCTATCGTATGATATTGCGTGAGTTTAGAGGGGGTCCCTGCCCGCCTTATATAGTCCGGGGGGCAGGGTTACAAGTCGGTTAGATCTGAGAGATAACCGAAAAGTAATAACAGATTACAGAAATCATAGGATCATACGTATCCTAACAGATCTCGTAGTATCTTTAGGATATCTTCCCAGTGTCTTGCGGGAGACGCCGAGCAGAGTCGTGCCCCGCAAGGATTCATCTTGTGGGCTGGGCCGCCCCTAGGGGCGCAGCCCATGTGGTCCGCCATGGGTATCTGGGGTCATACCCTCCACAGCTAGTCCCCGAGCGCCTTGTACCCGTTGTGCAACGCCGTCTTGAACTTATCCGAGCAGGTGCGAAGAAAGATGAACAATCAAACTCATGGTCCGACCACTGTGATGAGTTGCTGAGCAGTTGTGAGCAGTTGCCGAGCAGCGTGAACCATGGCCGAGCAGTGCGAACCGTCGCCGAGCAGCGTGAGCCATCGCCGAGCAGTGTGAACCATCGTCGAGCAGCGTGAGTCGTCGCCGAGTAGTGTGAACCGTCGCCGAGCAGCGTGAGCCGTCGCCGAGCAGTGTGAGCTGTCGCCGAGCAGTGTGAACCGTCACCGAGCAGTGTAACCCAAGTATGGCTTGCCATAAGGGTGTAAGGAGCTCAAGTTCAGAATCGAAAATTTCTTCACAGTGGACCAAGTGTGTCCACTTAGAGTTCGACCACGAGAAAGGGAGATAGTCTTCTTTAGCTTCAAGAAGCGTGGAGTCTTCCAGATTAAAGCAAACACACTCACCGCAAGATGAAGTGTGCCCACTTAGTCTCCGAGCCTGACAGTAGATGACGTAGTCATGTGGTGCCAGGGTCCAAAGTAGGAGAATGGTAAAAAACTAGCCGAGCAGGCAGCTAGTCCCCGGGCGTAGCCCCGAGATGAGAAAAAGCACATTCACCGCAAGGTGAAGTGTGCCCACTTAGTCCCCGAGCCTGACAGTAGGTGACGTGGTCACATGGTGCCAGGGTCAAAAACAACAGTCAACTGAAGAAAAATCCCCAATGCGGTGAGGTACCGAGACATAATGCTGACGCAGTCCCCAAGCCACAAAAGGAAATCTTGGAGAAAACAAATCA